ACCGAAATGCCCTTCAGTATCGTGGCATTCCCCTAAAATCAAACTGCGGATCTCTTCGCTGTTGGGAACGCACAGGCGGTCAAACACATTAGTCTTCTCAAACAACAACCCGTCTGTAGTGCGGTAATCTGGTTCAGTCTCTGGGGCCTCTCTAACTCTCTTTAGGAGGTCGCTATAGATAGGGTCCTGCGCATATGCTTGCCTCACTTTCTCCTGCAGGTCTCTCCCTATATCCAGATAGTGTACTACATCTCCAGAGTAGTCTGATCTCCTACTCAGAGCATCCGCAACTACGTTGTACTTGCCCTTCACTGGCTTGAGCTCAAAGTCGAATTGGTCTATCTGTGCGGCCCACCTAGTCAACTTAGGTGTCATCTTGGCCTGGGTCTTTAGCCATCTAAGCGTTTCATGGTCCGAATAGACTTTGAAGTGCCTCCCAAGCAGGTAGTGCTTCCAATGATCTAAAGCCTGCCTGAGAGCATAGAGTTCTCTCTTGTACGTGGAGGCAGCAACCTTCTCACAGGGCATCCTCGCTGACATGAACTCTACGGGTCTATAGCCATTGCTGTCGTCTTGCTGCAACACGGCGCCTATCCCATACTGACTCGCGTCCGTGGTGACGACAAATGGCAAAGACGGATCTGCAACTTTGAGGACAGGATACTCTATTAACGCGCGCTTTAGCTTCTTGAGCGCAAACGTACAGTCTTTGCCCCATTGCCAGATTGCCTCTTTCTTCAGCAATCGGCGCAAGGGAGCGGCGATAGTGGAGAAGTTCCTCACGAACTTCCTATAGTAGTTAGCTAAGCCTAGGAACGACCGCAACTCTGTCAATGTGCGGGGCGTCGGCCAATCTCTAATCGCCGCGATCTTGTTGTCCTTTGGCTTGATGCCATCTCCGTCTAATACGTGGCCCAAGTACAAAACTTGCGTCTTGGCCCACTCGCACTTCTTCGTGTTGATCTTGAAGTTAGCCTCTCTAAGCTTCTCCAAGACCTGCCTCAGATGACCCTGATGCTCCTGGAGGGTCTTACTAAAAACTAGGATATCGTCTAGAAAGACTACTACAAACTTATCTAACCATGGTCTAAACAGGTCATTCATACAACGCTGAAAAGTAGTTGGCGCGTTGGTTAGTCCAAAGGGCATCACTACAAACTCATAATGCCCATATCTAGTCCGGAATGCCGTCTTGTACTGATCATCAGGATGGACTTCTATCTGATGGTATCCGGACTTTAAGTCTATCTTAGAGAAATACTTACAACCCTGCACCCGATCTAAAAGATCTTCTATCCTGGGCAGCGGCTCAGCATTCTTCACGGTGATCGCATTCAAACCCCTATAGTCTRTACACATTCTYAACTCTCCTTCCTTCTTGGGGACAAACAAAACGGGTGCTCCAAAAGGAGACGAACTGGGCCTGATCCAACCTTTCTCAAGGAGTTCGTCTAACTGCTTGCGAAGCTCCTCTAACTCTCTAGGGGACATCCTGTAGACTGCACCCTTAGGAGTTCTACTACCAGGCTCTATCTCTATCCTGTGCTGGATGGGTCGTGACACTACTCCTATGGGCGACTCAGTCAAGTCTTTGAATTCTTCCAGCAGCTTGGCAATTGTTGGATCTGTGGAGCTATCCTTTTCCTGGGCCTCAGTGACAGGTCTAACATAAACTACAAAGACCTGGTCTTCTAACTGCTCCTTTTTAACTAATCGCGTGAACGCGGGAGCACTGAGACAACAATGTGACAAGGTGTTGTCTACACCCGACACATGGAACAAGCGGGCAGTCTTAACCTCACCCGACGGACTAGGGAGCCTACACTCATGCTCTCTCAAATGGAGTGTGGCCCCTGCTGCCTCTCCCCAATCCATTCCCAACACTATATCAAAAGGAAGGTCATCTTATACTAGGAGAGTCAGGGAATGGAGAACTTTTTCCACCTTCCCATCCTTCTCTAGGCGAAAGTATGCCTGGACTCCCTCTACGTAGTCCTCAACTCGCATCGTGCGGTTGTCTGCGAGGAAACTGACTATGGGGTCTACTAACTTCTGGACTTTTAGTCCTAGCCTCAACTTCTTCAGCGCCCTACGGCTAATGTAACTACGGGTAGCCCCTGAGTCTATAAGGGCCCCTACTCTACTTCTAAATACCTCTACATCAACCAAAATCAGTTGTCCCTTACTTTCCTTTTTCATTTTGGCCCAGGCTGGCATCCTCTCCTTTTACTCTTCTGCCACACCTGTGAGGGACGTGGCTAAAGAGACGCTAACACAAGCAGTCTCTGGACAGCTATCTAGGCACGGGCCTGCAACCTCTGCCATAGGCTCATGTGGGTTGGGAGTGTCCTGTTCGCGCGCGCTCACTTCTCCACATGGCCTGGAAGTAGGGGCAGTTGCGACCCCTACTGGCGGCTGCCTTTTGACTGCTGAGCAGCCCAACGGGCCTGTCTATACTTTGGACAAAATTTTATTACGTGCGCCGGGTCACCACAGAATACGCACTGACCCTGGTCCACGCGTTGTTGCCATATACGCTGGTCCAAGCCGAAATCTTCCCAGGGCCTGCCCTGCGGCAAGCCTGGGTGCCATCCACCTTGAGGTGCCCTTCCACCTCCTCGCTGTGGGGACCGAAATGAACCTTGGCGATTTGACGGGGGACCTTGACCCCTACCTCCCGCTTGGCGGTTTCCTTGGCCGCCAACCCCCTGCGCGCCCGGTCCTCAGCCTCCCATGGCCTGGCCCCTTTGGCCGGCCTCCTCCTGTACCTTGCGTCCTCCCTCCAGCCGCGACAGCAGCGTAAGACCTCCCCTGCCCTACACTACTGTACTCCTCCCCTAGGCCCCACTCAATCTGATCATATGGGACCTCTTCTGTACCACCCTCCTCTAATGTCAGGATCAAGTGATCCTTGGCCTTGACTTGGCCCAAGATGGTGCGATCTTTCCACTTTTTCCCCTTCTCCGGGTCCTTATGCCAGAAAGTGGTAACTGGCATAGACTTCGACTCATACAGGACGACTTCTCTACTCAATGCATCGTAAGTCATGYCGGCCTGCTGAGATTTGTCAAAGAAATGCCCACGTAGGGCCTCTGGAATGGCACGATAAAACAACTGGACCAACTGGGGCTCAGTGACCCCGTGGTCCGAGACAGCTACCAAGTCGTCCATGGTACCCTTGAGTGCCTTGGCACTCCTCCACTGTCGGGAGTGGATCGTTTGAAGCTTATCAGAGGCTCTAATGCCTCGCGTTGGGTCAGCGAACCACTCCTTGAGGAGCTTGAGGAATTGGGAAAGAGGAGTGACTTTGGAATATGCAACAAGGTTCTTTTCACAACTGGCTGTACGCCCGAGAGACCTGGCGAAACTAGCCGATTCATCCTTCAGGGCCTGGAAGGCCACGAGGACTTGCTCCTCTATCAGGATATGCTGTAAATAAATGTAACCATTGACACTGGCCTCCCAGTTGTCAAAGTTCTCGTGCTTCTTTCCCCCGTACGCGTCTGGGAACTTAAGTTTCACTGGGTCCTTACGGGGTCTGCCCTCTCCTTCTACAGCGGCTGCAGCTTTGGCACCCTGAATGGCGCCCTCACAAAACTTCCCTACATTGTCCCTCAACTGTTTGACTTCGCCCCCAATGTGGGTGACGATTTCGCGTGAAAAATCCCTGAACCCAGACCGCATGGCACTCAACGCTACATCCTGGCTCCAGCTTGCCTGGCGCTCCTCCATCCAGGCCTTGCTCAACACCTCTAGATAGCCCAGTACCTTGTCCCACTTGGCCTTATCATCTGGCTGGGCCAGCACCTCCGCTCTACACTCCTGCACCTTTGCCACTGCTACGGTCATCTTATTCATTTCCTCTCTCCTCCTCTTCTTCTCCCTCTTCATTCTCAACTTCCATGCTAACTTTTGCTCGTCTTCCCTCTCTCTTCGTCCCATTGGGTCTATCATGGCTGCTAGCTCAACAGCCAGCGCAGCCTTCTCATCCTTAGTCACATAGGACTCCGCCTCCTCGTCTTCCCCCAACGATAAATTAGCGACCCACTCGCTGATCTTCTTCTCCAGTTCAGTATCTGTCTCCCACTTCATCGTGCCACCACTGCTCCCTTCTCCACTCTCAATTCTCATTCTCTCTTTTTCCCTTCCTCTGTTGCCGCTTCTGCTTCAGCAGCCTTCCTTCTTTCTTCCTCCTCCTGTTGTACCCTCTTCATCTCCTCCTCCAACCTCTTCATCTTCGCCGCCTGCTCATCTGCGATAGCCTTTAGCTTCGCCTGCTTCTCGCGCTCTTTTCTCTCCTTGTTCTTTCTGCTCCTTGCTATAGGGGTTAGTCTCTAGCCCAGTACGGGTCTCAACCATGGTGATAGGTGCACAATCAGGATGATTCCACTCCTCACCACGTAGACTCTAACCCCTGATTGACAAACCTATAGACTCAATTTAAGAACCCATAGAATCCTGACAAGGACCCTGTCAACTATGGTCTCTAGCCTAGACTTATGTTATGGCTGTCACTACTGAACCAGTGGCTGATCAGGAGGCATTTAAGGAGATCCCCCGTAACTCCTCAAGAATTCTTTAACGTCGCAGACAGGACGACGTGATCAGCTTGGTTCTGCCTGTGCTTTCAGCCCACAACTCAGCCTTTCCGGCCTACTGT